GGTATTCTTTCACGTTCATTCCTCCCACCCTGTCAATGTCAGACTTATAGATCCCCAGCAGGCCAAATCCATTCACCTCCCAGTAGCCTGAGGATTGAAACACAAGGGAGCAGACAGAGAATAAAACACCCAAAGGAAGAAACCAAAATGGTAACCACTGAGTGTTGGGTCAGAGCAGCATGGTGGGGAACATGTCACTCAAACCAATCAATCAATCTTTATGTATATAGCACCTTTCAAGCAACTCAAATGCAATTCAAAGTGCTTTACAGGCAATTGACACAAACGTCCTTATTTAAAATTAATTTATAAACTGAATATTACATGTCGGGGGCATGTCTGGTTGCTAATGTTGTTGTGTATCATTGGGTGCACAGCGACATAAATGAGGACATTTCATTGGAAGATGTGTCCACTTATCATGTTTTCATGCAATGCCAGTGAATGAGAGGAGGAACTTCCAGTCCCAGAAGCGACAGAAGAGACAGAGCTCTGCCTACAAAGACAACGTCCTCGCTGGGTTACGAAAATGCTGTGCTGTTGTAATAGTTTGTAACCAATTCGTGTGGACTGTGTGATTGGGGGGGGGGGGGGTCTCAGACAGGTCAGAACGAGCTCGTCATGTAGGTGGCTATTGTCTAAACACCCCAGGGCAGAAGCAGCTGCTACTCCCTGTATTTTGCTTGGTGAGGGATGGTCAGAATAGCTAGCCGGTTTGGTTTTCCTCTTTGTCTTTTTCGCATATGTATTGTGAAGGGGCACTTAAACTTAAGAATATACAATACTGTTCAAAAGTTTGGGGACACTTAGAAATTTCCTTGGTTTTGAAGAAAGAAAAAAAAAAGTTTTTGTCCATTAAAGTACAGTGGTACCTCAGAACTCGAACGTAATCCATTCAGAACTCCGGATCGAATCCTAAAAAGTTCGAGTTCAGATCGAATTTTCCCCATAAGAAATAATGGAAAACCAATTAATTGGTTCCCGGCCCCAAAAAATTACACCTAAATATGTTTTTTTTAGCATTTAAACACAAAATGAACCGAATGAAACAAGAAGAGCATATACTGTACTAAACACATCTAAGCACATGTATCAAAACAGTAATAAAGTTGTCCCAAGGTGCTTTACATGGATGTGTTGTGATACATTCCTACATCATTAGAGAACAGGCAAAAGGAAGGAAAAAAATTTAATAAAGAAAGCCAGAAGTTCATCAATGAGTCGGTTATCCACATTGGCCTGTGTAGGGTGGCCAAAGTCCATCCATAAGTATGATCTGCACGCTGGCCTGTGTAGGGTGACACTGAAGGCTGCACCAACAATGATACAGTTTGTATGTCCCATTTGCGATCTTACCCCTCCATCAGACTGAACCAGGACTCCAGCTCAGATGGTGCCCACCCTGTGCCCTGTGCACCACCCAAGCATGTGGGAAGGCAGAGAGCATGGATGGTCAGAACATGCGTTGACACAAGCAAAGTGGATAAAACGGGCATGTACAGCAGCACCAGCAGCCATAGTTACGGTGTGTTAGGTTGCGGGTAAGCTAAACTGAAGTAATAGGTCTTCAGTCGAGATTTAAAGACTGAGACCGAATCAGCATCCCAAACATAGGCTGGTAGACCATTTCATAATATAGGGGTCCTGTAGCAGAATGTTTTACCGCCCACTCTCACTTTATTTATATGTGGAACATCAAGGAAACCTGCATTCTATGATCTGAGTGGTCAATGCGGCTTATAAACTTATAAAGTAATTCTGTCAGGTAGGCAGGAGCTAGACCTTTAAGTGCCTTATATGTAAGTAGGAGATCTTTGAAGTCAGCTGGGAATGTCTAATTTAGTAAATTTAGCCGACTGGCATGCAGGAGCTGGTGTTCAGTGCTGGTGGAGAGTAAACGAAACAATATTTTGTAGCTAAAGCCCATTTTATGGCTCTCTGGCTCATCATACATTGTTACAGTTGGTATCAGGGGAAGTTTCTCTACCCAAGATCAGACGACAGGTTTCCCTCCAAGGGAAGGGACACAATGCACAAAAAAGGCCACAAGTATAGATTGGAGGATGTTAATACTGATATGAAAAAGTCTATTTATTGTGCTTCCATCACTGGCACATTTAGGAGAAAGCCTCTGCACGCCATTACATAATATAATTACAATATAATTGTATCCTTTGTCTTACAGGATAAAATCCTGTGTAGAATCCTTCTGTCATGACCTGCTCGTCCGATCCTCCTGTGTGCAACGCCCCCTCATTATCATGATAATATCATGTTTCATGTATATTAGTCCACGTCTTCCTTAGTTGGGTGTCCGTCATTGATCACAGAGGAGCGCAGGTTCGGGGGAACCTGACTGTCCTGCAGGAACGTACGCAGCTGGCTACACGATGGACGGATGGGAGAAGTGGAGGGTCGTGTGTCTGGCAGCTCTTTCTGTGGAGGACGTCGAAGATATCTACCTATTCGGAACCTTGATAACGGGTCTTATGCTGATTGGATTAGGCATCGCCCTGGTTTATCGGAAATTGAAGAAAACGGTGACAGCCGCTCAAAGCCCCAATAGGCTAGCCGGGATAATTGACGGAGTTGGCAGAGCTGTCGGCACTCAGAAATTGGATACCATCATTGTGACTATGGACCGCAGACTTGATAACATCACGGAGAAGCTTTCGGCTCTGCAAAGAGAAGCTGGCCAAGGCCGTTGCTGAATTCAACAACTCCCCCAGAAGGACAAGGCAGTGAGACTTTCTTGCATCCCTTTCCCCCGACCCCAAGGACACCCTCCCCCTATCCAACGCCTTTGCCGCTTGACACCCCCAACGTGAACAGGCGGGTCGATGACCAGGGCATCTGGCTGCAGGGCCGGATGGTTGTTTGTTCTATGCTGGACTACCTCCACTTCCCCATTCCCTTCCCTGTGGCTTGTCTCCATTTTACATTGTGTAGTGGCTATGTGCTTATGTTGCTGAGGTGTTTTTTTCTGTTCCTAGATTATACTCCCTAATGGAGTACAGTCTAGGGCCTGTTTTTTTTTTTTACTCGCCTCTCTCACCTCATGTAATCGTTTTCTCTGTTCTTCCTATGCCCGGGTCGCTGCTCGTGCGGTCGACCGGCTGGCTTGTACAGCGGCTGTCTCCTGACCTGTCTTCCCCTACTGTTTGTATATGTATGGTCAGGTTGATCTGATCTTGATCACACTGCTCTATGTGCCCTTTAATTGCCCCTCGGGGACAAATAAAGTGTTTGAAATGAAATTATGTGCATCGCTGTTTGCCCAGTCTCCCCGAATAAACCCTTTTTCCTGCAATCCTGCCTGCTTGCCTTGTCCATCGCCGTTTCCTGCCCGCTCAACTGCCGCGATCATTACACCTATAGGTTACATCCTATACGATAAGAACTAAACCAAAATGACACGATCACATGATTATCCCTATAAACATGCATCTAATCCTATAAGAATAAGTCCTATAAAAGTCCAAAATCCCACATTTTATAAACCTATGTAAAGATTTCAAATTATATAGGAATATAGGTTTATTTCTTGTTTAAATGCATTACAATAAATTCTAAATCCTATATATGTTATGCTTGTTAATTATATTCAATTTCTATTTAATTCACACATTTCCATGAACCATTTTAGTACCAGAAAAAACACACTACAACCAAATACATGATTTCATTTTAATTTATTAAACTCAATACAATTGTCAAAAACATTACATATGATAGTGCTGAATTAATTAGTCCATCCAAACCGAGAAAAATCCATGTAAGCAGGGGTGGGGGTGGGTGGTATGACACAAAGATAAATGGGGACAGAGACAGAAAGAAAAATTAGTTTACAAGAAGTAAGCTCACCTTCAAGGAACAATACATCTCTACCTGCACCTGTTAAGCATTGCTGAGTACACTACTGCACAGTCAATTCAGAAATTTTATCCTAACATGCTTCATTCAACTGAATTGATGAAATGAACACTATAGATTACTGTAGCACTTATGTGGTGCCTTTACTCATTTTAAGCAGGTATCTAATTTTGCTTCCATTCATTTGGAGGCATGTGAAACAGTAGATTGCAGAAACAAGTAGAAGGAGCAAAAAAAAAAAACTACCTCACCTTCATGTAACACAGAGGTCACACTCTTAAATTTCTTCTGCTCATCTTATCTTTATCTGCACACTTCCAGGCAATCATCTCCTTAACTTCATTTTTATCCAAGCCAGATTTGGCAGTCATGTATGCTGCATATTTGAAAAAAAAAATGGCCCATAAATATTCAGCCATGGGTTAAGCAGAACGGTTGGTTTGTGCAGTTGGGACTTCTTTAATAAGAATTTATAAGCACGTGTAGGAATTATTAGCTCAGGTAAATTTTAATATCTCCACCAATATGTTTTGAAGTTAATTACATTTTAATTAGCTATTATTTAATGCTGATTATTAACCAATTGTTATGCCGAACTCCTCCAAAAAATGCACACGATTTATAGGAAACAAAACAAAAATATGCATATCTATATGTAGATTTATTTTGCTATGGAGTTCATGTTGACCAAGGCAGGTTAATGTGTGTTATTTACCTATAATAAAAAATAACAAAATTAAAATTTTCTTAACAGCATTTTCACACTTGCCAACCACAGGAAACAGCATTTCTACCACTGCCTACACTAAAGAAGGATAAACTATCCAACTGTGGAAAAAAAATGAAAAATATCTCTGCCTCTGCTGCAAATCCAATATCAGTCTTAGAACTGTCCTTGTGCAGACTGCTATCCTGAAAAGAAACATGAAGGAGCTTCAGTGTGGATGAGGCCTCGTCCAGGTGCTTTTACTTTAGAAATCGCCCCATGAGCCCTGCAAATAATAAAAATTAAATTTGAAAATTTACAAACCAGTAACCAGTGTTTAGTAGACCAAATATGTGATGCAGCTATACACCTTCATAGCTTGGATATCATAAGTACATTTACATTTTAGTCTTTATCCCTCATTAGTGATTCTCAAACTTTTCACGAATAACACCTCAACAAATATTTAATCATTACAACCTATTTAAAATAAAGTAGCATAGGCAGTATTCAAGTAATGTACATGTAATGTAAGCAATTTAATTCTAATATGAATATTATTTATTATGAACTGCATTCCAGTGTACCACTAGAGGGAACTTATGTATCACTATTCCAGAACATATGCTACTCAGTAATATGCTAATCAATGCGTATGTTTCACCAGAATACAGATAAATACATACCTTTAATTAGTTTGTGCATGTCCTGGGAGAGGAATGGCAGCATGGGTTTGTCTGTTTGATACACTGTGAGGAAGGTGGTAATTTCTCTTGCAACGCTCTGAAATACCCCCACTTTCACTGGAAAGAGAGGATCAGAACAACGATTCTTCATCTCTTCATATGACTACACTTTTGGATTGGGTAGTTCTCCTCTCTCTACCATCTCAACGCAGCGATAGAATTACTTTGTTCGGGGGGCACAGCAATGTTTGCCTTTTATCCCCTCAAATATAGGAGGGCACTATAAGGCATTTTCCCGTAGGTTCGGAGGGCACCAAGAATTACTGGCCAGGGCACTGAGGCAAAAAGGTATATAGCCGGACGCATGAAATATTTAGCATTCTGACATTTTCAAGGGCAATAAATGCATTAGCACCCTGTGAAATAGTGTTAGACTAGCTATTGAAATAAAGATGCTGTTGCCTTCATTCACCTACTCAGTAATGACGAAATGTTTTATGAAAAAAAACAGAACCAGCTATTGTCAGTGATAAAAACTTTAATTTAATTAACATTTTTTTACTGAGACATTGAACACTAACATGACTAACAGAACTTCAAAATAATGCATGAGTGACCATGTTCAAGTCAACTAACACTCGCCAACTGTCCCGAGCCACTCAAACACTGTCCCGAGACACTCAAACACTGTCGCGAGCCACTTGCTAACTGTCCCGCCCAGTGCCGCGAGCCACTAGGAACTGTCCCGCCCAGTGCCGCGAGCCACTACAAACTGTCCCGCAACACTTCCGCGAGCCACTACGAACTGTCCCGTGACAGCAGCTGCAGGACAGTACAGTTTATGCTCTAACTCCTTCTCCGTTTTCACTAAAATTCAAGGCACATCTGGTATCAATTATTTCAATCTTCTATGAATTATTACAGTCTATTATAAATTATTACAACGTCAAGTAATGACAGAATAGCCGCTCTGAATAATTTAACCATGGAGGCGTGGCTAACGTAAAATTATGGGATGCGCTTATCAACCCAGATATCATGGACATGGCGACAGAGAAGTAAATAACGGAAGAACTTGTTCTTGATTTCATAAGTTTATTGACTTTATTATGATCTAAACATACACAATAGGGCACAAAGGCAACTGAGGAAGAGGGCACTGCAAGGTTCTGCCGGCAAGAACTTGTAAATATTCAGGGCAGCACGGCAAATTGCTAAGGCACGGCGGCTTTTGCCGTCGATAAATTCGATCTCTGCTTTTGTTTTGCCATTTACACTTATGGATGTGGTATTTGCCCATAATTATTACCACATTGTAAAGCATGGCAAGTTCCTTAGACAGAATATCATTATTGTATAAAACCTGTGTTAGGGTCAGTGGGGTCATCCCATCTATTCCTACACTCATCCAGTTTAGCAGATCCTGCCAGAAGTTAGTTGTTACTGAACAGGAAAAAAACAAATGATCAATACTTTCTTCATTTCGTAAACAAAATCCACATGTCTCCACCTCAAACCCAAACCTTTTTTAAGCATTTCTGCTGCTGGGTATATTTCTTTAACTTTGGGGGGGATAGGCCATTTCAAAAAATGTGTATATTTGTTCGTTTTGTGTTACTATTAACATCGTAAAATAATATATTTTTTAATATTTTGTTTATGATTTTATTATTACACTTTTTATTAGTTAAAGGAATCTGATTTAGCTGTAAAGAAGGTAAACTTATTTGTCCCTTAGAGTAATATAAATAACCTTGTATCAAACTAAACAGAGGTAAAGGTATCGCATTACAAACTTTGTTATATTCTCTAAGGGAACACTGAATGTTAAATTTGGCATTGAAAACACCTATTTTGAGAAACTGCCCCTTCTTATCAAGTAAATCTGTTATGAAGATAATGTTTTTTTCATACCACTCTAATGAATAATGATTTCCTATTACAGTAATTGTAATGGTCCTGTTATTCCACAAGGTGGAACCATGAGGCGTGAAGTTATGGGCAAAAACCATCTTCCAATAAGATAAGACTTGCTTATGATATTCTGACAGTTTGACAGGCAACTTCAATATATCAAAATCACATTTCAGGAGAAAATCCAACCCTCCCACCCTTTTAAAGATATTTTTAGGGATATGGAACCATATGGAGTCGGGTTTTAAGAGGAAGGCTTTTATCCAGTTTATTTTAAATGCTCCAACCATCGATTGAAAATCAATTGTCCTTATACCTCCTTTGGTGTAATCTTTGACGAGTTGTGATTTTTTAATGTAATGTGTTTTATTGCGCCAAATGAACTGATAGATTATGGAGTTAATCTTTTTAATACTTTTCAGGGTAATGTATAATGAATAGGCTGGATAGACCATCTTTGAGACACCCTCTGATGTGGATAATAAATTGCGTCCAAAAATTGTGATATCTCTCATCAACCAATGATTTAATGTTTTGGACATACCATCAATTTTGTCTTTTAGGTTTTTTGACTCTCTAGTTTTGATATCTTTGTTTAAATAAATGCCTAAATATTTTACTTCATTTTTCACTGGAATCGTCCTTATGCTATTTTCCAAACAATCATAAAGTGGTAAAAGTTCACATTTCTTTAGATTCAGATACAGGCCTGAAGCTTTAGAAAAAACTGAAATTACAGTCAATGCTTTCTCAAGTATTAATTTATCCTTCAAAAATATTACTGTGTCATCCGCGAACTGACATATTTTCAGTTCAGTATCAAATATATTTATTCCTTCAATGTCTGGATGGTTCACTATGAGGTAGGCCATTAATTGAACACACTTTAAACATGACATTGGGCGAAAGCAACTACAGCTTTAGTTCTGCAGCACCAAGCTTGATAGAGAATGGAAAAAGCAGGAGCACTGTCTGGAAATAGTTTGCATATGAACCAGATGAACAAGGAAAACCAAAAGATGTGGACAAGCCCATTTGCAAGAAGTGCATTAAAGTTGTCGCAACCAAAATGAGCAGCACGACAAATTTAGCGAAGCATTTGAAAGACCATCACTCTGAATTATACGCAAAGTTTCGAGAGGAGAGTAAAGTTGTTGTTCAAACACATGAATATGAAAGTATGAATATTTTAAGTGCCACTGTCAAGCAATACTGTTGAAGTAAGTTAACTATAAGAATAGCTGTGTCTTCTCTCTCTGCGTTTCACAATCATCTAATTGTACCACGCACATATATTTTCACTGCTGCGCCATGCGAAGCTAGGAGTGCTTTTTTTAGTTTGTCTCAAAAATATTAAGATACATTTCTTTCCTTTATTCATTCATTTATTTGTTCATTTCTTTATATATATATATATATATATATATATATTAGTGCTGTCAAACGATTAAAATTTTTAATCAGATTAATCACAGGGTTGCTGTGGATTAATTTTGATTAATCACGATTAGATATCATTCATTTTTAATCTATATTAATCACATTTAATTTTGCATGAGCAAACACGCTCAAGAAAAAAGGGAATATATATGCACTTAACATGTTTATTGAACATCTTGAACATGAGTCGGATGCATTCCATCTGCCACAGAAGTGCAATACCATGTACCCACATCAAAAAGCAAGATTTTTTGCTTAGCCGGAC